GGGATATTGTATATAGGGGCTGTTGGGGCGCGTATCCAGGATACTTATCGTGTCGGGATATTGTATATAGGGGCTGTTGGGGCGCGTATCCAGGATACTTATCGTGTTGGATATTGTATATAGGGGCTGTTGGGGCGCGTATCTAGGATGCATATCGTGTCGGTATGTTGTATACAGGGGCTATTGAGGTGCGTGCGTATCCAGCTAGGATACTTATCGTGTCGGGATATTTGCTGGACCTGAATATTTTTCTTGTTGGGCGAATAGCGAGGCAACGATAAATGGAAAGAATGGATTAGAACTAAAATTGAATTGCGAGTTCTAAATTGGTATTGTTATAGTCTTGAAATAATTAATCCTACCAATTCGCAGTCAAAGAACGTGGTAAATTATCTTAAAATGAAAATAAATAAAATGAAAATCCTCTGTTTCTATAAAAACAGAGGACAGAAAAGGCTCAATTCTAAATTCTCAAGATTATACATTGAAGGTTCGAGTTGTACCCAACTGGTTTGAGTTTCATTCCCGGCGCCAGTAAAGCTTGATGAGATATGCGCGATAAACCTAAAACTATTTGTAACGTGATAACATTATCATAAATTGTTTAGTAGGACGACGAAGAATCTTGGGAATGCAACACAGCTACACATGTACAAGTTCAAGAAGTATAAAGCTCATCTCAGTGGTATCCCAAGAGAGAATGAGCTTGGTCTGTAAGAAATTCAAATTTGTAGGCAAGATACTTTAATTAAGGCAAAATGCAGAAATCATATTCCATGGTTGTTTACCTTGGTCGTTGAGGTAGGTGGTAACCTTGTGGTACTGGTCGCAGTCCTCTAGAATTATTAGATCTCCTCCTGTCGATCCACATGAGGTGCGCGCATCGCTCCAGCTATTATAATCAGTCAGAAGTAAGTGAATGCATTGCGTACCCACCAAGATGTACGGAGTGGCGCAAAAACCTGCCGGTAACGAAAAGTTCATGGTGTGTCGAACCAAATGAATATCCGACAAAGTGATATGATAATCGTGGTCATGAATAGAATCATAATTTTTGTAAGCCCAATGTAAAATTTGAATGATAATTTTTCCGAATATGGCGCTTATGTCAATTACTTTGTTATAAATAAGACAGTTAAGTGAAGAATTTCTTGACTAAAGCATGCGTAGACTTGCTCTAACTAAGAAAAATAAATATTAAAACCCAATTGGTGAGAAAAATCTTATTCTCGACAAAGGCTTGAAGCTAGCATCGGTATTCATTTATAAACTAAAATGTGCCAGTCGCTTCAGGTTATCCATTTGTTCTTTCTCAAGGAGACACTGTTTTGAGAAAAGCACTCACCATCCGTTGGAGTTCTTGAGCACACAGCGTAAACGACGGAGCCTGATGAGGTACAACTCAAGTCATTGAGCAGCCAGCCCCTGGTGGCGCCTATCATGGCGCAGTTTTCACCGTCATGGCCATTGTTGGGCTCTGTTCTCCCATCAGCTGCAGTGTTCTGATGAGAACTCAACATTAATTCTAATTTAAAATCATTCAGGCACTCAAATCCTGAATTACTGACGAACGTACGGGCAAGTTTAAAGCTAACTGACGTTATCTTATCATACTTATTCTAAAAGTATTTCTAAGAACAGCTCAGTCGTTAATTCTGTAATATTGATACCATAATGGTGGCAAAAATATGAAAATGGGGAAAAATAGGTAGGAGAAGCTAAAATTGTACTATTTGGCATCCATTTGTCATATGACTTTGCCAAATCTTGGTGTTTCTTGATGCCTTGTTGTAATTTCATGTACTATTTTGTATCACACAAAAACAGGTTACATCGTATTTGTAAAAGGCATCAAGTAACTCACGACCGCCCAGTACGGTGCGCCCATCTGCACGGCGGTGCCGTCGTTCCACTGCCAGACGCCGGTAGCCGACGAGTTGGTGGCGCCCAGCCAGTAGCCGTTGTAGGCGTCCGCTGAGTCTGACAGAAGAACACATCGGTAAACAGGAGATGCTTAACAATCCAGACTTGAATAAGTGGTGGATACGGTGTATTGCTTATAAACCCATCACACTATCAATACCGATTGGGATCTCAGGGAATAGGGGCTGAAGACTTGAGTGTCTAGTGAAGCTCAGAAGGATACCAAAGCTGTCCCATGTAAGAGAGCTGTAAAGCCCTGTTAATGTCCCATTTATTTAAAGTGAATATTGAAGTTAATTTTGAAGGTTGATATTGAAAAATGGTATTGTTAAAAATAAATAAAAGATTGACGAAGAATGAGCTACTTCATTCAGTCAAATTGCATAGTGTGCCTTTTGCTGTAAGGGCCGTCTTTATGAGAAAGTCTTATTTAGTTTATCATTGACGCAAGAATTACGCTGAATTCTTAATGACGTTATAATCTCACATCCATCGTCAACATAAGTGGCAACACCAATGAAGGAAGCGCAGTCGTGCAGCACGGGCAGCCTGCCGAAGTTCTGGTGGCAGTAAGCCACCGCGTCGTCGTGCGTGAGGTAACCACCAGGCAGGCGGTGGATGCACTTGGACCCAACGACCTCGTAGCCAGCGGGGCACTCGGTTGCCGCTGCGCCTGTCATATCGCAAGATAAAATTTAATATCACAATAAATTCCTAATTTTTTGGGAAGTTTGTGAATTGTTTTAGAATATATTGAGTGAGACAGTTTCATATTTTATAAGAGACACTAAAATCTGACAAGAAATTCACAAGAAACGAAAACAATAAATTCTTCAATAAAAAAAATAAATTAATAAATAGACTCTAAAATTGTTTAGACACGTTTGCACCAAACGTGGTCTAGATTTACCGTAAGCTGAAGAAAATTGCATACGGCAATATAATTTCAATAAGTTAACGCTTCGAATTTGACGAATCTCTGCCAAAAAGAAATTCTCACGAGTTCGTGCATGAGTTTAAAAAGCTATTTTCTCGTAATTCTCATACCGCATAGGATATTCATCTTGACTGCTGTTGATCAATTAAGAAACATTAAAATATGTACAAAACATTTAACAATTTCACAGCTGTTTATGCCTTTTTACTTTTTAGTTTACGATTTGCTACAAATATTAATCAGAAGTGAAGCTCATGATACTGAATAATATTTTCACGGCTACGTTAGATGAGCCAAATATAGTAAGTGTCGGTATTCGTATAGTTGAAATACAAACCGAAACAATGGAAATATGTCACCAAAAATGTCAATTCTTCGTCACAAAAAATATAAGCAACAGAGTTAACGCCACACCAATTGGAAATTTAACCACAGGTTATATTTCCATAGAAAACTCAAAGGCATACTCATATCACAGGGGAGTACGTCGCAGGGCACGTAATATTTCTATATGAAGGATCGCATTGAGTATGAGTGATACTCATTACCTAAGAGGATGATGCTCACTTGCGACAAAGAACAACAGACACACGACGAAGATGAGACTCACCTTTGGCAAGTTACAACAGACATACGACGAAGATAATGCTCACCTTCGACAAGTAACAAGAGACTGATGATGAAGATGATACTCACCTGCGACAAGTAACAACAGGCAGGCGACGAAGATGATGCTCACCTGCTACAGCACACAGCGGGCAGATGATGAAGATGATACTCACCTGCGACGAATACAAGAAGACAAAGTACTTTCTTGAGACTCATTATGGATTTGCAAATCGCGTAACCTGCGTACGAGTTCTACCGGACAGCACGCCTTGCGAGAAAATTCTTTTTCTTTACAGACGGGGAGAAATCGCGTTCTTTTGAGACAGTTTAGGGCACACTGAGCGTGAGCCTGATCACCAGCTAAATAATGGCACTTTTATCGCGGTATATAATGCATTTATTACACTGCATGTCACAAGGTATTCACATAGCAAGAGATATTCCATCAGGTTGTGTTTCTCAGAACATATTCGTAGCGTGAGAAGTTGTAGCCCATCTCACAGCTGCCGTAGATAACCCGGCACAGCGCTGTATGAGGTACATACACAACGTATACTCAAATATCAAAAATAATACAACACCAAGGTATTCTGTAACACACTCTGTATTTCAACTGGAATTACTGCGAAAAACCTACCATTATTAATTTTATGAAATCGATGTTAAGGAAGTCGCGTAAGATATGCGCAGGAGTTTTATTAATATAATATTAACCTCGTGCATAAAAGTTTGAAGGACTTTTCACTAGTCATCGTGATAATTTCACCATCCTGAAAAGGAAACAAATATAAAATACACTAAAAAATTTCACCTTTTCATGATTATGATATAACAAGCTAAGTATGATGTGAATTAATATAATTTGCCCCATGAACTATCAACTACCGGGTATCGAAGTTTCAAAAAGATACTCTTCTGTCCATAAAAACAGACCAATCCATTCAGAGGAAATGATAATAAATAATAATAAATAATAAAAATAAATAATAATATAATAATAAATAATAAAATAAATATTGAATTGAAGAAACCAACAAGCAAGAGTTTAGAAAGAGAGCCGAAATGGAGGAGACCCACAAGAAAGAATTGAGCTTGTTGCGTAGCGAATTACACTCGTTACGAAACGAGCTTGTGGAAATGAAAGCTCATCTG